GGATACGCCCAGAGTCACGGAACGGATTAAGTTCGTATCCCGAGGTACCACTGTATATGGAAAGTAACTATAAACATCCTCTTTCTGATCTCTCTCTCTCTAGAAAGAGAAATGGAACCCCAATTTCTGCAACCATACCTGTCTCTGAGAATCATTGAAATAAGCAGGAACTGTGATGACAGCATTTTTGGCAGGATGTCCCAGGTAATTTTCTAAGAAAGAGGAAGCATAATTTTAAGAGAGGTCACTATTAAAGATACTCTTAAAATTTTAATCTGGGGAGAAATACATGTAGCAATACTTCAGAACACGGAACAGTACTTGCAGATTTGCTTGGGAATTAATGTTCTATTTCACTAAAATTAAACATAATTGTAACAGCTTTTTAGGGTAGGGCTTCAAAACCAAGATGCAAACAAGGAAATATTGACAACCATATTAGCAAGCATCAACAGAATACTTTGTGAAGTTCCTTATTTTCATTACAAAATCAATTTAAAAAATAGCATTTAAGAGAGCCTCAGTCAGGTAAGGCAATAAGAAGAGGGTCCAATTCTGAGGCCAGTCCTGAGAGGGACTTTTACTTGGATGTGCCAGAAAATTCCCCTAAAGTATGGCAGGATTTTACAGCCCTTCACAAACACGGTACCCAGTGTTTAAGGCTTTAAAAGCAAGTCTAAAACTGAGATTTGGATCTGGAAGCTTACTGGCAACCAATAGAGCTAGCATTTCAGACTTCTTGAATCCCAACAACAACATTTTATACCAATTGCAATGTTGAGCTTGTCCTCAAAAACTACCCCAGGCAAAATACACAGGAAGGATATCATTCAAAGTTAGCCAATGCAAGCTCTGGATTTGCTTCCCATTTAGGAAAGAAATTGGAATCATCATAATACAATGCATTTTAAGCACAGGCCAGACTAATTGGCAGAAAAGATGCCACAACCATCAAAAAAATATTATACTTCTCTATTTAGTCCTTGGGACAAATCATGTATCAAAGGCAGTTTTCTGCTCCAAACCAAACTAGCAGAACCCAGAGAGGAATGTATCAAAATAATCTAAGTGTGAATTTGGAGAGGCATAACAAAACACATTTTAACCCTCCAGCAAGTTAATTGGGTTAGAAGAATGAGTGAGCTTAGACCAATCACAAAGGTTCTTCTGCACAAACCTGCAGTCTCTTTCATCTTCATTAAAATGAAAGCACCAATCTGGCTTGGAGAATAGAGCTTTCCATGAGATTCTACCCAGGCATCACCATTGGAGGCACGGACAATTTTAAAAGGGACATTCTTGCTGAAATAACAATTTTCAGAAGGTTAGAGCATAGCTCCCTGCTGGCAACACCTAGCTAACTCTGACTGATCTCGAAAACATAACTACAAGCAGACTTGGTTAGTAATTGGATGGAATACTAGCAGACTAGGACAAAGTTTTTAAATCTTTGTTAAGCCACAGAACCTTTGATCAAGAGGGGTGGGGCTTCTGTATGTCAGATGACAAGCCCCACACTTTTTGCTGTACCTTAGCAATAAGGAAGGGGGAACCTCCACAAAGGACTACCAATTTTTAGTCCCAGATAATTTTTTTCTGTAATCCCTTGCAAAGCATTCCCCCCCCCCACCCCCGTCACTAAGGTAAAGTATTGCAAGGGACCAAGGTGAAAAAAAAAATTCACAAGAGAAAAAGGAGTTTTCCCTTCAGCCTTCTGCAGAGAGCCCTCCCTCCCAATGTTTTATGGCAAAAAACTAGTCAGTTGGTCACCAGCGATCAAGCTTGAGTCAAAGGACTATTTACTTTTTAAAACTGTAACAACTTTCAAAGCACTGGACTAATACTATCTTTGGTAAAACATCAAAGCTAGCAGACCATAAAATCACAATGTCATAATAATCTTATACCTCCTTCTTGCAACTTCCTGCAATCAGAACATACTATATGCAAATCTTCACATACTTCAGTTAAATTTGAGAACAACTGTGGAATTATTTAACTCTCTAAGCATAGAGAAACTTGTATCATAATTGTACATACATGCAAGTATGCTGTGCACATACATGCATGTATACTGTTCACTTTTTTAAGAATTAAAAAAAAAACACATTTCCTCACATATCTTTCTGCACTTCTGGATCATCATATCGCCGTCCAATCAGACGCTTGGTTGCATACAATGTATTGTGAGGATTCGTTACTGCCTGTCTTTTAGCTGGCATGCCAACCAATCGCTCTCCATCACCGGAAAATGCCACAACAGAAGGGGTGGTTCTGGCACCTTCTGAGTTTTCAAGCACCTACATAAGATAAGAGAATTAGCTGATATGGCCAGCAGTGGTCAAACTTACAAAAATCATGAGTTGGATCAGCAATTTGATTTGACTCACTTTTGCCTGCTTTCCTTCCATGACTGCCACACAAGAGTTGGTTGTGCCAAGATCAATACCAATAACTGCTCCTCTGATTGCTTCTGAGCTGAAAGGGAAATGTAAAGTAGTTAGGCTTAAAAGGAACTTAGCACCTAGTTTTATTTATTTCCACTTGCAGGGTAAGTGGTGTGTTTACCTTCTGCTTCCAAAGAATTCAACTGAGATTAAAAAAAAAAAAAAAAATTGACTAATTAGGATTGCCTTCCCCAACACAGCACCCTTTCAGACGGCTAGGGCTACAGTTCCCAGAATTTCCAGCCAGCGTAGCTGTTGGTCATACCAACTGAGATACCAATGACAAAGCTGCCTAAAGCCAAACCAGTAGCAGCATTAAATGTATACTGCCATGATTTTCCAGTAATGGTAACAAAATGAAATTCAGCATATATATATGCATAATAAATACCATTAATTCTAACCGGAAAAGTTAAGAAAAATGGGAATAATACATGTCCTTCAGTCCGTTTACTTGTTAGTCTACCCAAATACCCACTTCAGCCTAAATGTTTTAAAAGAAAAAAATACAAAGAAAAAAAGTTCACCTGCTTTGAACAGAACAACAGTACACCAATCTCTGAAGCTGGTACTACCAATGGCCTCAATTGCTATATGGAGCTGCCACATGTAGAAAACAGCAACATACATATAGCACCAAAGCATAATTTACGTACAAAATAGGACTGTCATGATCTTTTCTCTTTTTCAGTGGATACTGCCTGGATTTCTGAAATCACACTCAAAAGGGGTCTTTTTAATACTTTTTCAAAAACAGCATTGTTTGCTACACTGAGAATGTGTTAACATAGTACGTTTAACATAGCTGACAAAGAAACAGTTTATGTATTACATCCTAAAACAAGTTGTAATATCAATATATAAATCAAACCTTCCAGAATGTCATCAAAGTAATCTAATACTGTATTTTGTTGCCACAACTACAAAGAAATCAGTTTGCTCTTGTTCCATGTCAGTCCCTCCATCTCCTTATTTGATATACTGCCGCCGAAATATTTTCATTCTGGTCATGCCACATTTCCTCATTAAATCACTATATTAGAGTATGATCTGCCCTGATTTACCACTACATATTGCTTTGCCTTTAAATTTCTTTATTGCCTTGCCATTCCCATCTGTTCTCTTTGACCTCTGCTTGTCCAAACTTCATTATTCCCAGCCGTATCAAGGTCACTTTCAGGCTCAGAAATACACTCTTTCTCTCTTGTTGTCTTTTATTCATGGCACTGTTTCCCAGATAGCCTGTGTAATTTCAAATCCTTTCTGAAAACCCACATTTTCTATGAAGACTTAGGCATAATCCTCACAGCTTTCATGTTCACTGCAGATATTACTTCCATTTTTATTTCTGCTCTGCTCCATTTATTTAGTCATTCATTCGTCCTGCATATCACCTCAATCACAAAAGCAACTCTTTAAACCAAATTATATATACATTCCTAGTAGAGGATCTTGCTGCCTTACACTTTGTAAATATAATAAATCTCATTTTTCTTTTAAATATAACTTATGCTCAAGAGTCACAACTGTTTGATGTTATACCTTTATATTTATTTCCAAAGATTTCAGAAATCTAAAATTCTGCAGAAACTGAAATGGATTTCACAATTCTCTTCTTGAAAATGTATTTTATCTTCTAATGTTGATTCATATTTTTTAATGATATGGAAGATAGTAAGAAAATATACAGATGCACATTTTGGTCTGATTCTGTCAAACTTTCTATTCATTCCTCAAATTTCCAGTTCTCACTATTCTCCCCTCCCTTTATTGCTGCCCATTTCTCTAACAGAACAGATTTTTTTCAGAAACTTCATGATTTTGTTTCTTTTTTCTCTGAAAAAAGTTTTCACAGGCTTTTTCTATTCATATCTGAAAAAGCTAGAAGCTTGTTCAGCCATGTTATCCATATTATGAGGTTTACAAAGCTTCCCTTAGCAGCAAATAGATTCTCCGTTTCAACATATAAGACAAATAATTTTGAGTTTTAATTTCATTACTTACGCATAGTTCCTGCTTGCTACAGTTCTGAGGATATCTTGACTTAAACCATTCCAGATGACCTATAAAAACAAAAGTAGACAATAACAATGTACTTATAAAGAATTGCATTCTTCACAGATGTTGTCTTCCAACATTCTTCATGCTTTTCAATCTTCAAAACATGCCTCTCCTGAGGAAAAAATTCTATCTAAAAAAAATGTCAGTTAAGCAAGACCCTTCCCCCCCCCGCCCCAGAATACCCTGCTTATTGTAAAAGATGGAGAACAAAAGCTGCTCATATTGCAGCCCTAGGAATAATAAAAATAAACAAGTCTGAGCACACTCAAGAGGACTTATTCACAAGGACGTACAGTATCTGTAGATCCGAAAAGTTTTCATCACAGAAACACAACCAAGAAACGCTACATCCCAAAGAAACTTCTAACCTGTGTAAGTGTTGTATTTTAAACAGCCCTACATTTAATTTCAGCTAAATTACAGTTTTGCTGTAGAAGACCTCTCACCGTACACTATTTCTTTAAACGATGGCATCATAAAAGTGTGTTGTAATCACTACACCTTAATGTAACTTTGCTGCCTTAGCACGGATTTAAGTACAAAAATGGTTCAGCACCCTATTAACGAAAGCAAGAAAGCGGATCTCCCTTCTGCTAGCCCACTGAATACGAGGCGCTGCTCCATCCGCCTATCAGGCCGAACTGGCGGCAGAGCACGTGCTCCCTTCCGCACTTAGCGGCGGCCGGACGGCAGCCGGACTCTCACGGCGCCTTCCACACGGTGGGGGGCTTCTAACCCCTCAATCTTCAACCGTGCTGGCTGGGGACTACAGGCAAGGGGACCCAGCTCTCTCCCGAAAAGCATCAGAATCGGCAAGGCTTTTGTACAGAAGTCACCAGGCCCATAAGGACCCCCGAGTATTGCCTAAGAGAAAAATATACCCAAAGTCCACCCACCCAAAACCAAACCTCAAGCATTCCCGTTTCCCACAAAAGATAGCAATCCATTTAAACACATCTGCCTCTCATTCGTGGCCTCCAAGAGATGTAAAATCACGCCACCGCGACTGCCCATGTTGGCCCACCGAAGCCTTCCCACATCCCCAAAAACACTGGAAAAGCCGCCGCTTTCATGCTTTGCCCGAGGGCATCCCCGCGAACGCTTGTTGAGCTACTCGTGAAGCGGGAGGCGGATCTATCTGGACTTCTGGCCCCGACGCAACCGAAATCATTCTGGCCTCCTTGCCGTAAAGCCACGGCACACCCGTGCCGCGAGACCTGACCTCCTAGTCCAGCGGCAGCCCCCTCCGGTTACCACAGGCTAAAGGGCACACAGAGGGGGCCGTTTTAAGGGCCCCCCCAACGCCCTTGAGAACTGTCGGGAAAGGAACCGGCAGCTGCTGCTGCTGCTGCTGCCCTCCGGCGGGCCTTACCTGGGCCGGCCCCGGGACGCCCCCTGCACGCCGCAGAACAAGCACGCGGGCAGCGCTCAACATGGTGGCAGCGAGACTAAGGCCGCGGAACAAGCCGACTTGCGAAAAGAGGCACGCGCAGCAGCGTCTACGGCTTTCTGGAAGTCTCCAGCCCACGTGGGTACGAGAAAGAGGCGTGACCGAAGGGCTTCCCTTGGCTTTAGCTGTCCCAATAGGCGCCCAATTAAAAGAGGCCGTCATGGAAATCCCGGCAAAGTAGCTTTCCCATGAACGGGATCTGAGATTTTAGGGAGGCGTATAATTTTTTTTTCTCTTTCACATGCTATGACTATCAACCCAAACAACGGTTATCCTACAACAGGCATTTTTCAAGACCAGCTTTACTGGCCCTTGGAGGAAAGTCCCCAAGCTTCAAGGTCAGAAAGTGGAGGTTGATTGACGGATGAGCTAACCGGAAGGCGGGGAGATGACTGCGCGTTTGCGCGAACCCTCGAAGAGATCCCAGAGATTTTGCGGCAGAAGAGTCTTTTGCGCTAGAGCGACCTCCGGAAATGACGAGACGCCCTCTCCTTAGGAGCGGCTGGTGAAATAGGTTGCAATGCTGCGCGTGAAGCAGTGAGCTTCTGGGTTGAGGCAGATGGAGTTGCTCAATCGGACGTTTAAGAATTGAATGAAACTGCGAATGAGCCGCGGCTTGTTAAGCTTTTGTTCCAAACTACCTTTTTTGGAAAGAGGCAGCTGGGCAATAATTGATACAGAAAGAAACGGCATACTTAAATAGCTTAAATTATGTACAGTGACTGTAACTGACACGGATAAATAAGTGGCGTCTATGACGGACAGACCTTACGAATTTAAAAGGATCTAATTGTCTTTATTGTGTTGCTCCCCCTCATTTTTTGTAAGGTTCTCATTTTGGCTCAGTTTCCCCTCACAACGGGGACTTGGCATTGCAACACACCAGAGATGCCTGCGTGTTTACGAAATTTTACGAAAATTTGTCCTATTCCTTTCCAGTCCCCCCCCCCCGGGGTTAGCATTTCATTGGCTGCTGAGCATCACTTCTCATTGGGATGATCTTAATGGTTTGAGATGTGTGGTAGTTTGCTTTTTTTAAGTAGAGCTAACTATCTGGCATACATAAGTAACGGCATTCACATCTGAATATCAAAATGGAAAGTTATTAATCACACAGTCCACCACAAAGTAGGCTAAAAAAAACATAGGTGGTTCTCGCTTCAGCAGTACATATACTAACATTGCAACAATACAAAGAAGATTAACAAATATTACCTAGGTTAAATGCATTTGCATTATATGATTGTGACTTTGGGGTCAGATATATTAATCCATGGTTCATTTAGCCATGTTTTATTAAATAAACCATAACTGGCTAGATACAATGCATCTGCCAAAACCAAGGAAATGGAATTATGCTTTAGTGTCATGATGTGAACTTTGGCATTTTTTTATGCAACCAAAAGCCATTCTAGGGATATTTCTCATGTTTTTAGATAGTAGCTGTGTTTTCATGATACGGTAGGCCAAAAGTCTAATTCATGAGTACCTGCATACTGCCATCTATCTCCTCTCTTTCACACAAAGTTTTAGCCATGTTGAGCAGTCCGAATATAAGGATGCTGCTGTTTTGGATTTATAGAACTAAAATTAAACCAAAGTTTACAAGCTCTGTTTCATAAATCCTAAGCAGTGATAGCTCTGGGTTCACACAGCATGGTAAGTGAAATGGGGATAGCTGGTTGTATAATAAGTTGGCAACATATGCAGTCTTTTTAATTATGCTTTTTGGCTTAGAGTTTTTGATGAAAGCCATCTGACATATTTAGCCACTCTGAAGGTGCTTCTGTTTTGTTTCCTACAGAGGACAAACTATCTCAACCCAACCAATTCAGTAGCAGCAAAAAGACTCTTTCCAGCATCCCAGAAGGGAAAGGAGGTATCATGTTGAGGACTGTTGTGTTTTGTTTCTTCATCCTTTCTTTGTACAGTGAGCCCTCATGTAAGTGGGCATGGAAGAAATGTACTTTGCAGTTTACTGCATCTAAAACGTGTTGTAAGGTTTTATTTTTCATTTAATTGACTTATAAAACAACTATTTTTGAACATAAGATCTGATGAAGCACTTTTTGGAATTTTCAAGCCAGAAAAGGTTACATTAGATGCTCAGAATTCATTTTCTGTGTGCCATTCTGTTCCAAATATGGTCACACAGTTTCAGAAGATTTACATTTTTTAAACTTGATAATAAAAACTTGTTTCTTAACAGAGTAAAGCTTTTTACAAAGATAGATGAAACAATTATATATAAGTTTGTCTCAGCCACTGCAGTATCTTGTAGTGGCAGCTATCTGATAAAATGTGTTGATAAAATCTTTTTATTATTTTTTGTTCCATATTAACCTGTTTATACATTTTTCAAGAAGCTTTGTACCTGTGAAACCAATGTTATTTTGCTGACCTCTTTGAATAAATATTTTTATTATTCAAAATGTTTAAATATGGATCGTATAATTATCCTTTCGAACTAGAAACGTCAAGGACTGAACTGTGGACATTCTGAAGACAAAGTATGATCTTCCATTGAGCAAAGCAAATAGATTGACTGCCTTGTATTATACATTTCCACATGATTTTCCTATTTTCAACCTGCATGTTTATATAAAGTTAACCACTTAAACCATTCCATTTTGTTTCTCCACTCCTCCCCTCTCCCGTCCTCTCCATATATGTGACTTTCAAATTTTTCACCATCTGGATTTTGCCCCAGTTTTTAGTTTGTCTAACAATCTGTACTCAGATTGTTTCATGGTGGAATGCTCCTGTTCAAAATCTCAGTCAACAAACCATAACTTTTTTAAAAAATTAATATTCTATTTCTCCGCTCTCCCTTGACTTTTGTTATTTTCATAATAGGAACTTCTAGATTCACATAAAGCCATTATTTGCTTTAACCATTTTTAACAAGTCATAGGTAAATTTGTGCAGTATGCAAAACCACACAGTATTGTGCTTAGCTTATTATATAAATCAGAAAATGGTCCCAGGGTATGATTAAGACAGAGGCAATGTACTTTAACCACAGTGTGTGGTCAAAATCTTACTGTGGGGGATTAACTAGAGTTCCCTCTTCAAGGTTCTAAGCATAGATGTGGGTGAAAGGTGTGACTGCAGAATGAAGTCATAGCTCTATGCTGTTCCCAGTTCTGTTTGCAATCCTTATGGATGCACAGCATTCTTTCAGGACAGGTGAGGAAGAGGTCCACCTTCCCCCACATATAATAACTCCAGGTTCAGTTGTTCCATTATGTACCTCTTTTTGTTTTTAAATCAGGAGCCAGGCTTGGATTTCTAGATCAGACCAATGCATGGGGGCATCGATGGATGCCATATTTTCCCCCATTGATCTTATCACTGAAAGTGTGCAGTGCCAAACACTTTCAATGTGTCTTTGTGCCAGTGGTAGTATAGAAGTGGACAAAGAAATGACATCTAAGTCATCACAGGCAACTTCTTTAATGCCATCTTATCATTGCCTTTTGCAGTGGTTGCAAAGAGTTGGTCTGTAATCCCATTGGAGAGAATTCTTGATTTGCACCACTAGAAACAGGCTGGCATGGCATGGTTAAGGAAAGAAGCCCATATGCTGAATTGTCAGTATGCTAGGTTTAGGAGCCTGGAATGCAACAGAGGCTAACCGCAATGGTGAATGAGAAGGGTTTGAAAGCTTGAATGCATGCATTCATATTTTTATCCTTCTCATTTAGCTCTGCTTCTACTCAAGCTGTCTCTGGGAAATACATGCAGGGAAGCACACGGAGTCCAGGAGAGGAGGAATGCTAGCAATTTTCTGTTTGTGAAGAGATTTTTGAGGCACAGATCCAATGAAATTTGAAGGAATGGGATAAGATGTTCAGTTATTGGCTGCTTGACAGGATAGCAAGCTAGTATTGATGGATTAACAGTTGTCTGTGTCTAGGTATTGGCCAGAAAGGACTTGACTGACTGTTCTCTGCAAACTCTTGGTAGATTCAGAAAACGGTCAGGATGAAAAGCTGAGAGGCCTGACACTTCCACATCTTTTCTTTTACCTTGTTTCTTGCAGTTGTGTTGCAGTTATGCAGATTGGTGGGGGAGGAGAGTCTACCCTTTGGGGGCTGTATATGTTCAAAGTTTTAATTTCTGTGCCTGCTTGTTGACTTCTGGGCCTAAAGTTCAAGTGGTTCATGCTTAAGCTTTAATAGATTATTGCTGAAACCCTAGGAAGTTAACCTGTTAAACATAAAGAGATTTAATTCTGAGTAAACTATGTAAAATTGTACTCATCACCCTGTAATCTGAAGGGCCTGTATACTATTGAGGTTTATGTAGTAGTAATAGTAGTAGTAGTAGTTGCTTTTTGGTTTTTTTAGACAGCAGTATAAGATTTTTTTACTTTAAAGAATCTTTGAGTAAGGTGACTTACACCTTAAGGGGTTTTCTCAAGCTGGAATCTTCTAAATATATTGAATGAATTCCCATAATTCCCAAGCTATTTGTAATGTCAGCTGGGGGACTTATGGAAGCTGAAGTCAAACACATCTGAAAGATACCAACTTGGGGAAAATTGGTTGAAATAGTTATCTTAAGTCCTTAAGCTCAGAGTCTCCTACCGATTAGCTAGAATTTTAAAAAATCTAGTTAGAATTAAAGATATCCCAGGTTGAGAAGATCCCAGGTTATAGTTTTATATTTCTATTGATTTTGAATTTTTATTCACTAGCTGCCTTGAAGATCTTCAAGTAATTAGAAATCCAAATCAATGCAAATAGAGATATATAAAAGCAAAAAATAAAAAGTTAAGTCAAAAGCATATTATTAAGGGTAGGTGTGGGGAAAGATCACATATGTACACACATATACATAGCCAGTACAGGTAATAAATTTATTCAGTATAGTTGTATATGTTGAATAGCTAAGCAAATGGTCTCAAATGAACAGGGCTACATCAAATCAAGAATTAATTTTTCTGCACTTTGCGTAATGTTGCTTACCCTGAAAGGGAAAATAGTGTGATGGGTATGTGTGTAGGAATTAATTTAACCTCAAGGTTCTATAAACAAGCTTCTTGTTCATGCAAACAATTGTTTTTATCATGCT